TCTATTCTATTCTATTCTATTCTATACAAATGTCATTCTATTCTATTTTATTCTATTCTATTCTATTCAAAGCTCCAGGCAGTGTGGTATTTATTTCTAAAATGTCTTTTCTGGTGTCTTTTCCAAAGATCGCCTCCAGGTGACTCTTCATGAATCTCTGTTGCTTCATTATTCTCATTTGTATTTGCTTCAGTGCATATGGACAGCCCATGTGGGTGAGACCAGTTTGTGGTGTGTGAGTGTTGTGGATACAAAGCAACATTGTCCTTGTGTTGTTTTGTGTCACATTCAGCTGCGTCTCCCAATTTATCCTCTCTCAACTTCCAGGTAGAATCCTATTGATTTCCTGTCACGGAGCCAGTGTACAGAGTAAATAGGAAGCATGTGGCCTATTATTTTTGTCAGCTGATAAAGCAGAAGACTCGACCCCCCTACGTCTTTATTCCGGGGCCTTTTCAGGAGTCACGGGGCCTTCAACAACAAAAACTGCGGCAGTAAATCTGATGTGTCTCCCCGGCAGTAATGGCACCTCTGAAGATGATGTGTTTTTAAATTATTGTGGTGCTAATAAATGCCATGAACCACAGGGTGTGAATGATGACTCCCACTCAGTGAGCAGAGACGTCCATAAATGTAGGCTGCGTTTCATTTATGCCTCATGTGTATCCTGCTGTGGGTTAGAGTCCTGACCAACACTGGAAGATCAATTCTTCCAAAAGAATCCAGCAGGCGACTGCTCAGAGCCAGGGAGGGGGAACCGCACAACTTTGGTTAGGAACGTTAAAGTAACAAAGTTAACTACTGACCACCGATTAACAGCCTGGTTAATTACTGACTTATTACACCTCAGACACCGTTCTTTATTGTTCAATGTCCTGACAGTTTGCCATACCTGTCAGCATGGTATACACTACTTTACTGAGCATGCTAACAGAGAGAAAACAAAGCTAGGCACTACTACTACTACTACTACTTTCATAACAATTTATGACAATTTATCGGCAATCAGTTCCCTAACTTTAACTGTTTCCATGGTTACAAGATGCTGTCCTCAGGTCCTCCCCCACAGAAAGGGTGGGTGGAGCATGTGGTGGCTAATTACCATGTACAAAAACCAGCTGTTACAACTTTAACAAGCCTGTTGAACAACACAAATATGACTTACATTCCATTTTTTTCAGACACATACTGCCACCTACTGTACTAGAGTGTGTAGTCTCATGGTATGACCAGTGACCTTTAGAGATAACGCAGCTTACTCTTTAGACCTCGATGTGCAATTTACTTTTTATTTCAACGGATGCGAATGGTCGTACGTTTGCAACGATTATTAATCGATTCACGACGCTTCGTTACAGCCCAACTTGTCAAGTGTTAGCATTGTGCTAAATGAGCAGCTGTGATTATCGGTAACATGGGTGGAGCTACACAGCAAAGTGATGCCCCGAAGAGGATGAAATTGGAACAGCAAGTAAATATATTTGTAACATTTATATATATATTTGTAAAGGCTAACTCGAACAACAGATTTTAAAACATCTTTTGTCTCCTTTACTATTAAATATATTTGTAACATTTAAATATATTTGTAAAGGCTAACCCGAACAAAACCAGTATGACGACCTTATAAGGACTGAATTCTCTTCTTCAAACACTGGTCCTGTCTGATGTGTCAAACATTGACCGCACTGTCGGGAAAGACAAATGCTTCCAGAGTTGATGCAGTACAATGTGAAATCCGAGGTTTAAGAACCACTGCCTGAGAATAATGCCTTCTAGTGAGGCATGTTTCCGGAGCCGTAGTACTAATGCACACAGCGGTACTAATGCCTGCTGTGGCTTTTTGTTCTTCTGCATCCATTCAGCACTTCCATCCCTGGAAGTTTATAGACGATGTGATGCTATTTGTGTTACTACAACAATACTAAGAGCGGCGTGTAAAAGCCGGAGACAATACCCCCCCCCCCCCCCCCCCCCCCCCCTCCCCCCCTCGCCACCCTTCCCCCCCCTTTAGCGGCATCCATTTCTGCAGCTTCCCAGAATTTCTCTGTATTATCAGGGGAGAGAATGAACTAATCTGTAGTGATTTGAAGCAGGACCAAAACACTGGCTTTTTCCATTCCTCATTTTTCTACCAGGGGTGGTGTGAAGCATTACCTGCCAATGAGAGGGGAGAAAAAAGGGAGAGACCTATTTCATGCTTCACAGGAAAGAAAAAAAGGGCTTCATGTGCCTTTCTTTCTTCTTCTTCTTCTCTCCTCTCCTTTACATCCACACCATTCTGTATTTAACCTCACCTCTCGGCCCTTTCTGTTACCGCTCCATGTTCAGACTGCGGTGTGAATTATCAATGAGTGTATTGTGGAGGCTTTAATGTAACAGTATCAGGGATCGCCTGTGAATAGGAGGAAGGAAAGAAAGTGACGAGAGGCGGTGAAGAAAGGAGGAATGTAAAAGCCCAGAGTTCATGGATCGGCTCTGATCTAAACACTGTAAAAGGCAGTGTGTATAACAAGCCCAGGGAAAATTACAAGGTAAGCTCTGGCAACACAACAGCATAGGTCATCATAAGACTGTGAATTACTAGAACACCCCCGTCTCTGAGGACCACTTCAGGCTTTCTCACTATGAAATAATTGGGTTGCAGTAGTGAAGGGAGAAAACAGGAGTCTGGCTGTTTCTCTCTACCTCTACCTCTCTCTCCCTCTTTCTCTCTCTCTCTCTCTCTCTCTTTTCATTATATGTGTGTGAGCGCGTGTTAAACGAAGTGTTGGAATGACGCTAGTTACTATGCAAAGTAACCAGCTTACACAGGTCATGAGCAGTGGTGCAGCAATAGGGCTGACCTTCTGTCATGTGGAAGGTTCTGGGTTTGATTCCTNCATTCAAACTATATTAATAAATGGAAAAAAAATGTATTTATTTATTTAGATTTTTTTTTATTTTTTTACAAGTCTAAATGTTCAAAAAGAATGGGAAAAAGTCCAGACTCATTACATTTCACTTATGTTTAATTTTTAATAACAAATGCTAATAATGCTAAAGCTATTAGCGATAACAATATTAACAATAATAAGAAATTGCCATTTAAAAATATACTATTATAATTATACTTTTATAATGATAATGATCAGATTCATTATCATAATAAACAATTGATTTTATTTTTACAAAAAAAAAATGCCTCTCCTCCTGCGGCCCCGTGTTGTTGCCCCAGCCCTCTGATCACTTTGGAGCTTTACTGTCTGCAGCAGAACGTCTCATATGTTCCTGTGGCAGAACCTCTGCTGTTGTAACAAGGGAAACGTCTCTTTGGTGACATCACAGCGCTGAACACCTCTCACGCAATCAATTACCATATAGTACCATCTGTAGCTGCAGCACGGTACCCAGTTCCTGCAGGTTGTTCCCTGTCAGCATTTGCTTTTTTTTTCACTCTCCATCTCACCTCCCCCTCTCCCTCCCTCCCTCCATCTTTCCCTCACACCCGCACCCACTATGACTGACAAGGAGCCGGGTCACTGTGGAGTTAAAGGGAAGGATCTAATGAGATCATCAACACTTTGTATTCATATCACCCACGATACACAGTAATCAAGTTGTCCACAGTGAATTAAAGGGACATCGATATTTCCTGATTGGCCAGCAGAGTTGAATATTGATCACGTTCCCACAAAACCTCAAAAAGACCGAGGAAGTCAAAGTCTTAACTGTAGGTTATTCTCAGGGATGTGACTACATGTCTCAACCAATCGGAGCATTTTGGGGGCTAGGATTGCTGCAGCTCCCACATGAACATAAACATTTTGGTACTACTAAGTACTACTTAAATACAAGCAAATCACATTTTTACCAGTAGATTATTGGTCCTAATTTCAACAACCACACAATCCTGCTCTACGACTGTCTGCTCATTATATATACACATGCTTAGGTCAAATACACTTGCGGAACTTTGACGTCGTCTCTCCATTTGTACTCAATGAAATGAGAACAGAACTGACGTCAGAGCCAGTGTTTCTGACACAGTTAGGGAGGGAACCTGCGGTCTCTGAGTTCGTGGACCACCCGACCACCTAAACACTGTTGTGCTGAATGTCATCATCTACAGTGTGGACCAACAGTGTTGTGCTGAATGTCATCATCTACAGTTAAAGCATGTGGAAATACACAGTGTCCATAGGTGGACACGGTTCCAGTTCCTGCTGTGTTATAATGAGTGGGTGACACATTCATCACTGTCTCTGTTCTTTTCACACCTGCTGCCGTTACAGACGGCTCTATGACTAATCGGCACCGTCATGGTCGGGCGACTCGGTAACAAGAAGCCAATTATGAAGTGTTTTATCTGAATTCATGTCACATCTAACATGTAATTGACACTTTGACGCCAACACTGTACACACACTGGTGGAATACTGACGAGCTCAGATAATTACTTCATGAGTATGAGTCATGGTATATGGTCTAGTACTGGTGACCATGTAGAGTACTACCAGTAGGTTTGTTTTCTACCTGCTAGTAGCAAGGCTGCCACAGGGGGCACCCTAGAACAAACCCAAAAAAATCAAACCCAAAACACAATGCATGTAGGATAACTGTGGTACTACTACTATTCCAACGATTGATCCCACTGACTTTGGTTTTACAGTGTCAAAGGTCACAGTTGGTCACTAACTCAAGACGAAGTGAGAAATAACAGCTTCATTTGTCGATGTACTTATACACACTTGTACTGTAGGAGTACTATTGTGTCCAATGTCCACATAAATTTGACTGTGGATTTGTAGTACAGATGAATATGAATTTGGTTTAATGGATCAAATTCACAGTGAGAAGTAGAACGAAGGTAAAAAACCAGTAGAAACAGAAAAACAGCTGCTGTTGAACTAGGTCTGAAAACACCACCCTCCCCCACTCCTCCACCCCCCCACCC